AAAATAAATAAGTATTTAAAAAAATCATTTGCAAGTGTGCCTGGGTGACTCAGTCGGTTAAGCATCCGACTCTTGATTTTGGCTCAGGTCATGATCTTGAGGTTTGTGATGTGAGATTGAGCCCCACATTGGACTCTGTGCTGACAGTTTGAAGCCTGTTTGGGATTCTTTTTCCCCCCCTCTCTCTGCCCCTCCCCCGCTCATGTCTGTCTTTTCCTCCCTCCCCCCCTTCAAAATAGACATTTAAAAAAATAAAAATCATTTGCAAATGGAAATCTAGCTGTACTCTGTAATCCCTAAAATTGTATATATCTTACACGTGTATGTTTTAAATGTGTGTTTGGAGGATTTTTTTTAATGCGCCATGTGGGAGGGGAGTGTTATTGTCTAGTACACTGTTACATGCTTTACGGAATAATTATGCAGCCTTTTCTTAATTTTGAAGTATTTCTTTTCAACAGGTTTTGCACTGATTGCAAAAATAAAGTTCTCCGAGCATACAATATCCTTATTGGTGAACTTGATTGCAGCAAAGAGAAGGGCTACTGTGCTGCACTTTATGAAGGTTTGCGGTGCTGTCCACATGAACGGCACATACATGTTTGCTGTGAAACAGACTTCATTGCACATCTTTTGGGTCGTGCTGAGCCAGAGTTCGCAGGAGGGTATGAGTATGTAATTTGCTAGAATGGGCTATCTAGCGCTTTGCTTCATTTTATTACTGAAAGTTTTATTTCCATCACCTTTTGCATCAGTACATATATATGTATAAATTCAGGTGTGCTTGTAAAGAGTTTGCTTTCTTTAAAATATGCATTTCTTAATTGACTGAATAAAAATAGAAAGTGTTCTGTGGTGTTCATTTCAGTCCTCTGCTCCTTGTTGCTTGAAGTAGACAGGCTTTTTTTTTTTTTTTTTTTTTTTTTTTTTTTTTTTTTTTTGGCTTTCATTATTATAGATTATCATTTTCACTTGAAAATGATTCGAGGGATTTTTTTCCCCCTCCATCCATGCATTTCCATATCTAAATTTTGTTCATTATGATGGTTTTTGCATAGGAAGAGGTCTTTGCAGCAAAGTGTTAAATATTTTACTGAATGTAATTAATGAATTGTGTATATTATCACTGAATTATATAGGAACCTAAAATTTTATATCTGGCTTTTTTGTGAAAATAAAATCAGAAAAGGTTCATAGAATAAAATGAACCCATTTTGTTTTGTGTTTTGTGTATCAGCTCTCATTTGAGTGCCTATTTTGTGCTAGGCACATAGAACACAAAGACTTACCAGTGAAGTTCTGTGAACCCTACTACTGAAAACTAGCTTAGAGGGCTTTTGTCCATGATTGAATCACTTTCGCACTGCCTTTATCCATTACTCCTCAAAAAAAAGAAACCTACAAAACCCAAATAGGCATTTGTTATAATTGGAAGGTGAAGGAGCTATCATGCCTCCTATGAGCTGGACACATTATATTAGACTTCTTGTGCCCAAAAACCATCTCTTTAGAGCCCCAGTTCCTGAATTATCTTATTTTTAGCAATATTAGGACTGAGTTCTGCCTGCATGTGTATTTCTCATTGGTTATGTACATGTATGCTTGTGTGTTTTTATGTACATTTAATTTGAATGTATAACTGGCTTCTTACCAGGTATGCAGATTGTGTTTAAACCCTGAACCCTCTTATCTGTCTTTTACTCTTTCAGCAAAGGGTACTAGGAATTATGTGTGATTTATTCTCCTTTACAGACGAAGAGAAAGGCATGCTAAGACAATAGATATAGCTCAAGAAGAAGTTCTGACCTGCTTGGGAATTCATCTTTATGAAAGACTGCATCGAATCTGGCAAAAACTACGAGCAGAAGAGCAAACATGGCAGATGCTTTTCTATCTTGGTGTTGATGCTTTGCGCAAGAGTTTTGAGGTAAGAATAGTGACCTGCTTCATTGTCTGAGATTGCTTGGTTAGGTTATTGGACTGAATGTTAATATAAGCTAGCAGTCTGATTTTGCCTCAGAGGGCTGTGATTCACTGATACTGGCATGGATTTGGGGGTGGATTTAGGGGAAGGGAATTAGAATTTAAGTTTGTGGATTTTGGGGGTGCCTGGGTGGCTCAGTCAGTTAAGATTCCGACTTTGCCTCAGGTCATCATCTCACGGTCCATGAGTTTGAGCCCTGCATCGGGCCCTATGCTGACAGCTCAGAGTCTGGAGCCTGCTTCGGATTCTGTGTCTCCCTCCCTCTCTCTCTGCCCCTCCCCTGCTTATGCTGTGCTTCTCTCTCTCAAAAATGAATAAACGTTAAAAAACATAAAAAAAAATTTTATTGTGGATTTTCTTTGATTTTAATCCTGTTGTTCTGCCAGCTTTGATATTTAGACTTTCTCAGAGTGGAAAACTGAAGTTGATTATTTAGCAGCATGTTGCTATGAAGTATAGCTAATGAAAAGGTAAAAGCAACCCAGAGTAAATTTGAGACTTAATTCGTGAGTCTCAGTTTGTCTGCTGATATCCAGTAGCCTCTTTATAGTGCTGGTTTTGGGTTTAGTGCTTGTGATTTGGTAACCTTCTTCCCCCCCAGTTCTCTGTAGCACATAAAATTTTGGCTAGTGAACATTTTGTTATATTCTGAGGCATGGTTGTAACCGTTTAACTGGGTCACAGATCCCTTTTGTGAATTATATGAAAGCTATAAACCTTTTTTTTCAGAAGCCCATCTGTGAACTTTAAACATTGTTCTGGGGAGTCTGAGGAGATTTGTACTAGTTCTTGCTGAACGCTTTTTTTTTTCTTTTCTTTTTATATGTTTGTGACTTCAGAAACTAGATCATCTAATCAGGTTAAATAGTCTTCTGTTGTGTTAAGAAATGAATGTTTGCTGTGTTGGAATTGAAATTTGAAACTAGAATATTGCTGGTTTGGAACAGGAGTGTGTAAGAAGTCTGCCTTCCCTGTAGGGATTGGTGGTATATTCACTTCCTGTAGATTTTAAGTTGTCATCATTTAAAGTGTTAAAATTTAGGGGCATCTAGGTGGCTCGATCAGTTAAGCGTCAGACTCTTGATTTCTGCTCAGGTTGTGATCTCACAGTTTGTGGGTTCGAGCCCTGCATCGGGCTCCGTGCTGATGGCGTAGAACCTGCTTGGGATTCTCTCTCTCTCCCTCTCTCTGCCCTCCCCCTGTTCATGCTCTCTCTCTTTCTCAAAATAAATAAACTTAAAAAAATAAAGTATTAAAATTTAGGGACACCTGGGTGGTTCATTCGGTTAAGCATCCAACTCTTGATTTTGTCTCAGGTCATGATTTCGTGGGGTCATGGGATCAAGCCCCATGTTGGGCTTTGTGCAAATGGCACAGAGACTGCGTGGGATTTTCTCTGTCTTCTCTCTCTGCCCCTCCCCTGCTTGTGCTCACTCGTGCTCTCTCAAATAAATAAACATTAAATAAATAAAGCATTAAAATTTAAGATTCTTTGTAGGAATGCTCTGGTAAATTGCAACATGAATTATTTGTGTGTGTGGTATCATGTAAAATTAGCAATTGAGAATTTCCAAGGAAAGTAAAGGTAGTTTTGACCAGTATTCATTCTCAACTTTGTTTTCATAATAGATGACTGTGGAAAAAGTACAGGGTATTAGCCGATTGGAACAACTTTGTGAAGAGTTTTCAGAGGAGGAACGAGTAAGAGAACTCAAGCAAGAAAAGAAACGCCAGAAACGGAAGAACAGACGAAAAAATAAATGTGTATGTGATATTCCTACTCCTTTACAAGCAGCAGATGAAAAGGAAGTAAGCCAAGAGAAGGTAGTATTCCTTAATTTTGATTCATAAATATGTAGTATTGCTTTTTGCTAGATTTTTGGCATTTTTACTATGCTTTTCCAGAATATGAGGAGCTGCAGCTTGTATATTGGCTTTTTTCCTACTATAATTGGTACAGCCAAAAATTTTAATGTCTTGTGTTTGTTTTATAATATTCAATGATTATCTTTTTACCTGATCTTAGTATGTTGTTAGATCAAAGTCCAAATATGGAAAGTTAAGTCCATGTATGACCTAGAGCAGTTCTTCTTGGTCTCAGGACCCCTTGGAATTTTTAAAAATTACAGTGCTCGGTGTGCTTTTTGTTCATGTAGATTATACATACAACATTTATTGTATTAGAAATTAAAATGGAGAAATTTTAAATCGTTAATTCTTTTTAAAAAATAATAAGCCCATTATATGTTAATATGAGTAACATTTTTTGAAAACTGTTCCAAAACAAAAAGAAGTGAGAAAGGTGGCATTATTTTATATTTTTGCAGATCTTCTAAATATTTGGTTTAAAAGGAATCAGATGGATTCTCATATCTGCTTCTGCATTCAGTCTATTTCCATATGTTGCTTGGTTGAAACATTTGAAGAAAGTCTGGCCTCACACAAAAAAGGAAGGAGTATTTTAATATAAACTTTTTCAGATAGTTGTGGATATTCTTTGGCATTACAGTTCAACAAGTGGTAGTTTCTTAAAGATTAGTTACAATGTGGAACCTGGCACCTGTGAATGACCTTTTTGTAACTCAGTTAAATTAAAATCCACTAGTCAGTCTTGCACTTTGAATGGATCTTTAACTCATGCATGATTTTGTAACATCATGAATTGGTCATTTGAAAGTTACTGGTTTACTGAGTTATGCAGACCTTGCCAGATACTGACATTTCATTATATATATTATCACATAATCGTGTTAAAACCACTACTGATCTCATCAGAAGGGTCTTTAAGTATTGGGAAGCTTCAGGCACATTCTGCTTGTTTATACAAGTTTTCCAAATTCTGATTGTAGTTTGAAAGTTTGAGGTTTATCACAACAAATAGCATCCATTGTTTTCCTTGAGGTGATGGGCTGACTTCTTTTCTGAGAGAATGGCTTTTAAATATCCCAAGTCTGAATAACCAAAGTTTGTCTCTTCTTTCAAGCAAAATTTATGTTCCAGGATAAAAAACAGCTAGTTCAGCTTGTAACTCAAACAAGCTTCAAGTGCTTTTCCTTGAGACAGCCATTGTATTTTGGTATGCAGCAAAAGTGCTTTAAGCATCCTTCCTATTTGTCAGACATCTACTCATGAGCTGATACTTAAAAAATATTTTTACTGCTTCATCGAAGACTTTCATAAGTGAAGTATCTATTTCCTGAAAGTGCTTGACAAGTAAAAAATACACTGACTGTTAGTACAGTGTGATTGCCACTGCTGTGATTTGTGCGAAAGTACCAGCAACTTTTCCCACCATTGCTTTCATATCATCAGTGTAAGTGTCAATATATGAAAAAGGCAAGTGACATATTAGTATTCTGATGAAAATAGTTTTGATCTAGGGAATCCCTGGGGTCAGCAAACTACACTTTGGGAACTTCCCTCCTAAATTTTCCTGATACGATTAACTCTTAATTTGCTTTTAGTTGTTTCATAGTCTTAATGTGGGTTAGTGATTTTTCATGAGAATAATTTTTTCAGTTGGTAACCTCCTAACTCCTATTTAATTGGTTGATGTTAAGGAAAGTAAATGTAACCATATGAAGGTAAGACTTTTTACCGTCTCTCAATGTTGACCCTTAAAGGAAACAGACTTCATAGAAAACAGCTGCAAAGCCTGTGGCAGCACCGAAGATGGTAATAGTTGTGTAGAAGTAATTGTTACCAACGAAAACACATCATGTACCTGTCCTAGCAGCGGCAATCTTTTGGGGTCCCCTAAAATAAAGAAAGGTAACTAAATACAGTTTCTTCTTAAAATTAAGTCTTAAGTTTATTCTTTTTTCCTCTTAAATGGAAGAGGTTTTAGAGATCCTGTAACTTTGACACTTAATACTTCTTTTTTCTTTATGGTATTTGTTATTATTTGACAAAAACAAAAAACTATAAACCCCTCATCATATTTTCATTATTTAGTTTACTTTCTACTTTTAGTAAGCTGTCAATTTTGAAATTTTTATGTTGTCTCCAGTTGGTTCATTCTTTGTTGGTATGTTAACTATAAGTCTCAACCGATTTATTTTCAGGCTTATCACCACACTGTAATGGTAGTGATTGTGGATATTCATCTAGTATGGAAGGGAGTGAAACAGGTTCTCGGGAGGGTTCGGATGTTGCTTGCACTGAAGGCATTTGTAATCACGATGAACACGGTAGGTTCAGATTAAGCTTCCCAATTATTTCTACTACATGGCTGATTAAAGCACGTAAGTAAGAGATTATTGATTTCTTCAGGTGACGACTCCTGTGTTCATCACTGTGAAGACAAAGAAGATGATGGTGATAGTTGTGTTGAATGTTGGGCAAATTCTGAAGAGAACAACACCAAAGGAAAAAATAAAAAGAAGAAAAAGAAAAGTAAGATGTTGAAATGTGATGAACATGTAAGTATCAGAGTTCTTAAACCTTTGCAGTTGAGGGGAGAACAACCTATTTTCTTTGGAGTGGCAAGTCTGCAGCTTAGTTTCTGGTATTTATTATTTTAGAATGAGTACCTTTAGAATGCAGTTCTGTTGGCTGCTCATCTTGTGATTTGTGTGTGTGTGTGTGTGTGTGTCTGTCTGATGTGGTCACTTGTCCAGTAATCTATGTGAGTCATAAATCCAGTTCATTCTTTTAATAATACTTTTAAATGAATTAGCTGTGTAATCTTGAGCAGTTTGCTTGATCTTAGTTTTCCCATCTGGAAGGAAATTAATAGTCCCTATCAGATTAAGTTCTGTGAAGATGAAAGAGATTATATCGATGGGTTAACACAGCATCTGGTATGTAGTAAGTGCCTACTAAGTGCCAGTTGCTGCTGCTGTTCAGTATTCCTTCTAAAAACTTAACACACTATCAGGGCCTTTTTTTCTCTCTCTAAAGAATAATTGCTCTTATTCCCTGCCTTTTTACCTGGGTAATCCTTTGCTTGGTTTCAGATCCAAAAGCTTGGAAGCTGTATTACAGATCCAGGTAATCGAGAGACCTCAGGAAATACCGTGCACACAGTGTTTCACCGCGACAAGACCAAAGATGCACATCCTGAAAGCTGTTGCAGTCCTGAAAAGGGTGGGCAGCCACTGCCTTGGTTTGAGCATAGGAAAAATGTACCACAGTTTGCAGAACCTATAGAGCCATCATTTGGTCCTGATTGTGGAAAAGGTGCCAAGAGCTTAGTTGAACTCCTTGTAAGTAAGGATATCTTATTGATTGGTAGATGTGGGAGGGGACAATATTTGAGAATTTAAAGCTAGGAGTTGGGGAACCTTTTAAGAAATTAAGGTCAGTCTTTCATTATTTTTGGTCTTTTCATTTCTGCTCTTCCACACGTGGTTTATGCAACTGCTCTACAGCACATTTCCTTGTCCTCCTTTGTAGAAGAGAAGAGAATAGTTGGGAAAAAGGGATAGAGTTAGCATTGTGTCCAGGAGTCTGCCTCCTTGAAGAGGGTTATTGTAAGCAAACTGCCTTTCTGAGTGGCAGCTTATGGTGTCCAGCCTTCCATACCAGGAAAAAATGTAGAATCGGAACTAGAGCCCACTTTTTACTTCCTTTAGGTTCATGTAGGATAAAAGCATAACTAAACTTGCAAAATCTTTTAAGATTGACTGTAAGTCTTGGTACTTTACACGAATTATGCCTGATTCCAAGCAACCCAGTACATAGTTTGTGTGGGGCTTAGAGGAGGGGGAAGGAAAGAGAAGGGTGGTATATTCTCTTTAATAGTTAGGCTCCCAGTGGAAACAAATCCTTTAGAATAGTTTTTTTTTGTTTGTTTTTTATGTGGTGGTTAAGTTTCTTAAATTTTAAAAAGGTTTTATTTTACTTAATTTGTGGAGATAAAAGTTTTAACACAGGACCATCCAGTTAATAATCACATCAGTCTGGTTATTTAAAGTTTGGTAACTAGTTGTAACCATCTCTAGTTAGTCGTTTGTTTGTTTTGCTGTAATCAGAAACATTGTTATTTTTTTAATTTTAAGTTTCTATTATTTTTTTAAAGTTTATTTTTTTGAGAGAGCGCGAGCAGAGGGAGGGTCAGGGAGAGAGGGAAACACAGAATCCAAAGCAGGCTCCAGGCTCTAGGCTCTGAGCTGTCAGCATAGAGCCCAACGTGGGGCTCAAACTCACAAACCACAAGATCATCACCTGAGCTGAAATCGGATGCTTAGCCTTAAGACTGAGCCACCCAGGTGCCCCTCAAGTTTTTATTTATTTATTTTTTTTTAATTTTTTTTTTCAACATTTATTTATTTTTGGGACAGAGAGAGACAGAGCATGAACGGGCGAGGGGCAGAGAGAGAGGGAGACACAGAATCGGAAACAGGCTCCAGGCTCTGAGCCATCAGCCCAGAGCCCGACGCGGGGCTCGAACTCACAGACCGCGAGATCGTGACCTGGCTGAAGTCGGACGCTTAACCGACTGCGCCACCCAGGCGCCCCTCAAGTTTTTATTTAAAGTCTAGTTATCTAATTAGTCATTTTCTAAGGCAAAGGTTGGGAGTCTCTTAGGCTTATAGGTCTTCTAAGACAAATTATAGATCCAGAGTTTCAAACTGAGTTAAGTTGGATTTTATTCTTACTTTGTACTTTCTAAGTTGGAGTGACATTATGCTTGTTCTGTAAACAGTTCAATGAAAGACTTCATGTGACTGAATTGAAATTAAAAGGCTAGTTTGCCTGAATTTTTAGCTGTCCTCCATCAGCATAGCATTTTGCATTCTTAATTTAAGTCATAATCTTAACTACTGCTTTAATTTGCAGGATGAGTCTGAATGTACTTCAGATGAGGAAATCTTTATCTCACAAGATGAAATACAGTCATTTATGGCTAATAACCAGTCTTTCTACAGCAATAGAGAACAATACCGACAGCATCTGAAGGAGAAATTTAATAAATACTGCCGCTTAAATGATCACAAGAGGCCCATCTGTAGTGGCTGGTTGACAACGGCTGGAGCAAATTAAATAAATAAAATAGCTCTGTCTTTCAATGAAACACTCAAGATGACTACTGCGCCTTCTCTTTCAAAAAAAAAAAACTCTTAATTTAGTGACTTATGGCAAAATTTTAAATCAATGTGATTCTTTCTTGTTTTGGGAGACGGTGGAGGTAACCTCATTAGTTCTTTCTTCAGGCTTGTGTCTTTAGTTGCGTGGCTGCGCAGGCCTGCCATATGATTTAAGCCATCTCTTTTCATTAAATGTTTCTCTTCCTGTGAGACTTACTAAAGCAACTTAGTGGCAAAAAGTAATGTTGTACTTATACTTCTGTACAGAAATGACAATGAGCTGAATATATGGTTTTACAAAGTAGACATCCACTTGCAAAATGTTTGGATGTAATGTTAAAGCGCAATGTGCAAAATTTAAAATAAAGAATATTTATTAATATGCATAGTAAAAATTGGTGTACATGTTTCTACTTAATGTGTGGCAGTATTTTCATATTTGCCACTTCTGAACTTGGTATTTGACCAGTGTTGATGTTAGGATGAAGAGCAAATGAGGATAGAGATACAAATTGTTGAGGACAAAACTCTTCCCTTGACTAGAGCTGAGAAAAGCAGTTTTCAATCTTTTGTTTTGAAAGAATAAATTTGCTGCAATACCCTTAAATACTGGCTAGCATCTTTCTCATGAGATTAATTGCTATTATTTAAAATTCCCTGGTATCACTTAACATAAAGTGCCTTAAATTCAGAGATTCATACTGAACTGGAAGAATGAAAACAGAACTTGGCAGAATTTCAACCAAGGGTTGTCTGAAAAGTAATTACTTTAGCATGTAGACCTGGGACCAAAAGACTGCGCCTAGAGCTAACCACGTTGCGGTCCATAAGTGCATACTCCTTATCTGGTTTCCAACAATAAAGTCACTGTGGCATTACAGTTTACTGCTTTCATGAACTGTGAGTACTGAAGGAGAGAAGAGATTCCCCCAGGAATAGCACTTGGCTGCCATTTAAAAGGTTGAGTCAATAGTTCGATAAACACATGTGCTCAGAGCTTTGTGTCTCAATGTTGATAATATTGGTGGGCAGCAGGCAAGTAGTGGGACAGTCAATACCTCTGTGCAGTGGGGATGCAGTGAATTTTATGGGCTGTGTACCACTTAATCAGATTTCAGGTGGGCAACAGCAAAAGCTTAGATTTAATTTTTATAGTTGGTGGCATTTCTTTGATACACCTCTTCAGTTGTCTTTTCAAATCTAAGTGTTGCATAGGGATGGGGCAGAGGTAAAAATGAGTCATGACTCCTCTCTGGCCTTTGTTTACTTTCATCCTGGAATCCATAAAAAATTACTAAGGGCCCCCCAGAGCCCTTGGCTCTGAGCTCAAACCTTTCTTAACCACTTGTTGTCAAGTTTTCTCCTGAGATCCCTAAAAGCAAGGACTGGTTTTATTCCGTTTTAATCTTTATCCTTGGGCCAAACACATGAGTACTTGGTGAATGAATAAACCAGCCTCACATACTGCTTATGCCATTGCTTGCAGTGGAGGGATTCCAGTAGTTATGCAGAGATGTGTTTTTCTTTGGAAGATAGCTATATTAAGGATGCAGATGTAAGGCAGTTTTCAGAGTTTTGATGGAACATCCTGAGTGGTCAGAGAGCAAAACCAACAACCCAAGAAGAGACAAAAAAGGCAGAATGGAATGAAGGCAGTTTAGGAGCACATCCCCTGGACCTAAGACTGCATGGCTTAAAGTCCAAACCATGCTTTACCCCTTTCTCTCTCAGTCACTTACAAAATGAAGCCTAATACGTAGTATCTTAAAGAGTTTATGTGCATATGCTAATATATTTAAAGTGCTTAGAAGTGCCAATTACACAGCATTCAGTAAATGTTAGCTTTTGCTTTTAATCTTTGGTACACAGTGATATATTTTTTCACTGGGAGTGGGAGGGTCTAGGACAGTTGGAGACAGTAGGCCAGTAGGGATACAATCCCCTAACACACGTGTACTGGAGGGTGTTTCCATTTTTAACCTTGAGTTGTCATTCTAGTAAAGCCAAGGGATCAGGTAGGGTTGAGAGGGTAACTCAGGGATGATAGCTGAGGCACTCAGCCTTTTCTAGGCTGAATCCTTCGCATCAGCCAGAGGGCGGGCGTTGGAGTCACCTTAAGAGCCCGTAATTTCTCCTTCTTGCCATAGGGGTCAGGAACTGGGAGGGGAGACTGAACAAAGGGGCAAGAATACGAACGGCCTCGGGCCTGGAGCAAGCACCCCCCTAAACCTCGGTTTCCCTGCCCCTAAGGGAAGAGCTCACCAAAGCAGGACCACAGGCCACCGGGAACCCTCTGCACCCGCCGGCACAGAGGAAAGCACAGTTTCCCACCTCCCGTCAGGCATGGGGCGGGGCCGGAAGAGGCGGGAAGGCCGCGACTGATTCCCGCTAGCTGTGGTCGGTCGCGGAGAAGCGGAGGGTGGAGCCCCAGCCCGGGCCGGGCAGAATGGAGGCAGGTTCAGGCGCGGCTCCGAGCGGGGGAGGAGGGGGGGGGGGGGGGGGGGGGGGGGGGGGGCAGATCGGCAACGGCGGCCGCGGTGGTGACCAAAATGCGTCCGAGCCCTTGCGACCCGGGGAGGAGCTCCGCGATCCAAATGTCCGTATCGCGGAGCGAGGTGGGCGGGCGGCTGGGGACCATGGCCAGGACCGGCATGGAGCAGTGGCGTGACCGGCTTGCACTGGTGACAGGAGTTTCGGGGGCATCGGCGCGGCTGTGGCCCGGGCCCTCGTCCAGCAGGGACTGAAGGTAGTGGGTTGTGCCCGCCCCGTGAGCAACATCGAGGTAAGTCCCCGCCGGGGAGAGGGACCTTCTGGGAGGCGTTGTTTCCGCTGGTGTACGGTCCGGGAGGCGGAGTGGTCTGACCTAGGCTGCGACGCTGCCCCCACTTGCTGCTCCCCCAAGGCCATTTGCAACCGGATCAGACTATGAGGGATGAGATGCCCAGTAGGGCAAGCCTCTACCTTCCCTTTCATGAAGTCCCTTCTTTTAAGGAGACCCTACTCCTAACAGCCTCTACTCCAGTGTACCAACTCCTTGGCATATTTCTCCGTGCCGATCTGCCTGCCCAGGTCGGCTGAGGAAAAGGGAAGCCAGAGATCAGGGCTAGCTAGGCAGCCAGGGAGAAGGAAAGAAAGCTTTCTGGCCTCAGTGGCTAAATTGGCTACTAGATTGTTTCCTCTAGTCCCCAGACTAAGTCCACAAAGCCAACCAAAGTGGCTGGCCAGCCAGATGAACAGGAACTAGAGGTTTTGATCATGATAATTTTTCACCCAGCACTGAGGGTGGGGTTGGGGTGGGAATAGAGCTTTTCAGAAGAAACTCACCCTCTCCTTCCCCAATTCCCAATTTGAGGGTTAACCCTTACCAAATGGGCCTAACAGACCAATGGGATATTTACAGATCGACTTTTCTCCAATTGCACTGTCTTGGGTGGGACTGAGGGGTGAAATAGGGCATTGACTATGTAAGCCCTGAGGGGACAAAGCAATACGGAACTGGAACTACTGTTTTTTCTCTTAAACTAGGGTTGGGAGCCCCAAGTTGTGAGCAACAAGAGCTCAAAGAAAAATGAAGTTGGCCATGTTGTAACAGGAAGGAAGATGGGAAATTTTCATCATAGGTCATCTTTGGATTTGCACCTGACAAGATCACTCTCAGGGTTTGGGCTAGCGATTAGCTGCAGGGCTTTATCTCCACCATTGTTCAAAATCCCTGCACCAGGAGGCTTTGGGTGGGGACAGAGGGAGAAGGTGTACCAGAAGGAGGGCTTTCCCCTCCCCTTCTGCTGACCAAAGGTACACTTTATAGCCACCTAGATAGTCCCAAGGTCACCCAGCTGTACCACTGCCCTACTCTCCTCCTCCCTTTCTCCTATTCTGAGGAGTTCAGGGCCCAACCCTAGCCTTGGAGCCTAGAGGGTCAGACCAGGGCTTAGACCACTGGATTCCTTAAGTCTAAAGTCACTCTTGCCTTCTCTTCCTACTACCCCAAACCAGCCAGGAAAGGGGGTCCCTGAGCTTCAAGGGGGATCCTCAGGCTGTTCACTCAGCCCCAAGATGACTCTTTTAATGAGGGGGAAATGCCTGTTCTGTGAGGGGACTGACATGGTTTCAAGTCATTTCTGAAGATAGATGAGGACAGGTGGGACAAAGAGAAGGCAGCGACAGGGAGAAAGATGTCCCCAGGCCCTTCATTCTGACTTTCTTGCAGGGATTTGAGTCTGGAGGTGGAAGGGACAAGTTGCATGCCAGGGAAGGGGAGAATCCCAGGCTTCCTTGTGCCTAGTTTGCTTTTATTAATTGATACTAAAACAGAGTTTGAGTTCTGGCCTCCGACAGAGAGAAGCCCTATTTCCTGAGGTGGTTGTGAATAGGTGAAATTGGGTAAAGGGGGCCTTCTAAGTCCCAGAGGACCATACCTTTTGAACTCTTGGAAAGTTAAAGCAGAAAAGAGTTTCCTAGGTCACCTGAGCCAGCCCTTTATTCCCATCTTGACTTGGTGGGGAGGGAAGGGTTCCAGGCCAAGGCAACTGGCCCAAGCTGGCCTTTCTCTAGGGCACCCCCTACCACCCAACTCTCTCCCTCCTGTACATGTACAGTCACTTTTATGAGGCTCAGATGCCCACTCACTGGCCTCTAAGGCCACGGAGCTTGGTTTCTTTCTGCTTCTGAATGTCTGCATCCCTCACAACCACCTCCCAGTGGCTCTGTATTCTCAGGTCTTTCCATCTCAGGGCTCCTCCGTGTGCTGAGGTCCCTGTCGATACACTAGGGCTTCCCAGTGTCACCTGCCACCTAACTTGCTTCATCATATCTCAAGAAATTTTGGGGTAGAGTATGGTACACTGTGGGACAGAGAGAAAGAATCTGTCCTGACTTCCTGACCTTTCCTATAGGTAGGGCAAGGGGAGACTGGCAGTTGGGCCCAATCTGAGAGCCAACTGGCTGCATTCTGTGGAGGGAGGGTGACTGTTCAGACATAAGCCCTCTGGAAGGAGCTAGATGAGGCAAGGGGAGGGGAGAGAATCCTGGCATAATCAGCTCAGTGATTCCTGGTGCTGGTGGAAGAAGCAGGGGGTGGGGTGAGAGGTGTAGCTTACCTATAAGCAGAGAAGGGGTTCCTGTTGGAGGAGAGGCAGAAGAGATGGAGATCATGCTATGCCTTGGACCACTGGCTCCCTACTCTCTTCTCAGAAATGAAGATTCAAGTTTATTGTGAGAGTCTTCCATTGACGATTTCAACTCCATTCCCATACTCCCCTCACTCAGGGAGTGCTCTTATCCCCTGGACTTTGATCAAAGAGGACAAGTAGTCCCAACAACTATGTGGCTGGAAGGTGACTGTCAAAGGAGAGAGTTCTCTGAGTGGTGACAGCAGAAGAAGACTGTCTCTGGGTGGGAAGGTGTGGGAGCCGCTCACCCCAGTTAGCCCCTTGTTGGGTTTCATAGGAGCTGGCTGCCAAATGTAAGAGTATAGGCTACCCCAGGACTTTGATCCCCCACAGATGTGATCTGTCCAGTGAGGAGGACATCCTCTCCACGTTCTTGGCTGTCTGCTCTCAGCACAGTGGTGTGAACGTCTGCATCAACAATGCTGGCTTGGCCTGGCCTGACACTCTGCTCTCAGGCAACACCAGCAGCTGGAAGGACATGTTCAATGTAAGGGCTGCAGACCTGGAGTGGGGGGTTGGGAGGAGAATGGGGAGCCAGGGCTTTGTGAACCAGAGGGCTGCTCAGGATAGGACATGTAACAGGAGGGAACTTTGGCTTCATAACTGGGGCACCTTGACTCTCCCCTTGCTTCTTTCCCTACCAGAGGCATAGTGAGTGGATGAATGGCCATATCTTTTCCATTCTTCTTTCCTCTGAGTCCCTTAAAGGGGCAGTTCTTAAAGTCCAGGCTGATTTCCTTCTACTGGAAGAAAGACTGGTAGGGAAGAGAACTGCTATTTATTGAATGTTCCCATGTGCTGGCACCATGCTGAGTGCTTGAGAACATGGTCTTACAAGAAAAGGAACCAAGAGACAGGAGATGAGGTTCTCACCCAGCCCTGCCAGTCATGGTGTGGCTTCAGGCAGGTGGTTATTCTCTATCAGCCTTGTCACATTTAATTGGGGTGAACACACATCAATATCTGGGGCCACAAACCCCAGTATCCCGTGGGGCCAGGTAAATAGCTAAATGAGTGAGGTGAGTCAGGGGAGTCTGCAGTAAGTGGGAGAGCACATGGCCAAGTACAAGGGTGGCTGGTGAAATCCAGCATCCCTGCTGTGGAGCACTGTGGGTCCAGTGTGGCCAGATCTTATCATTTCTTTGAGAGGAGTGGAGAGCCTGGGTTTTTATGTGACATCCTACCCCTCCCATTTACCAAAACCTCAGCTCCACAAGGGCAAGGATTTTTGTCTGGTTTATTCTCTGTTATGGTCTCAGCCCATAAACACTCAATAGATATTTTTTGAGGGAATGAAAGCTTCCAATGCACATTGGGAGTGAATTACAAATGTTTTAAAACTTTGTACAGACCAAACACAGCCTTCAGGACATGGGTTTTCAACTTCTAGACTATATTATGGGGCAATATTAGGGTATAAAAGTATCCTGAGAAGTTGAAAACAGTGTGTACATGGGATGGATCTTTTTCCCACAATCGATTTAGCACCTAAAAGTTGCTTGGGCCTAGAAATGAACAATGAACATTGAAACAGTGAACAGTGAAAATGAAGCACTATCCCTGCCCTCAGACAGCCTTCTGGGAGATCTGAGATCTTGCACATCTGTAAAATGAGGGACATATATTTGAGTCCCTAAGGCCCTTTCCAGCTTCAACACTATGTAATTCTATTAGGATCGTCTTCTGAGACATCTCCACCCTCCACCCCACCAGCCTTAGGAGAATCACTCCCCTGGTCTCAGGGACCTGTTTCTCTTATTCCATCTGTCCTCAGAGTTGAGTTTTCTGCCTCATAAATACACATTGCTAAGCGGGCCAGAAAAAGGTCCTCGTGTCCTTCTGCTATGAATGCTGAGGCAGGTTCATGGTGAGGGTGTTCTGTCCTGATGCCTGGCTCTGACACCTGATAAAGAGAAACATCTAATATCCTGGCTGGTCTTGTCTCTTCTCAGGAGGAGAGACTTGAGGACCTGCTGAAAGCTTTATCTGTGCTTGTCCTCATGGGGCAGGGGTGTGGCTTGGCAGGAGCTTTGGAGCTGAGATACTTCTTCAGGCCTTTGTTCGATGAAGGGTGGGGATTTTGGGTCACCTCTGGCAGAGGCCAAGGAAGGCAGAAAGCCCCCATGTGCTTAGGAGGTCCCCTGCCATCTTCTGACCAGCTACCCCACCCCCATAAAGAGTCTCTGTGCCTAATCTTGTAGATGGAACAGAGTCTAGAGGAAGGCATGGAAGGAAGGAAGGTCAGGCCTTCTCTACTTATAGTCTTAAGGGAGGAGATAGGAAAGGAGCAGAGAGTAGCTGGGTAAGGCAGAGAGAGGCTAGGGTCTATACTTGAGGAGAGAGATTTTTTTTAAATTAATTAATTTATTTAAAGGTTTCTTTTTTTTTTTAAGCTTATTTATTAGGGGAGAGAGAGAGAGCGAGAGAGAGCGAGAGAGAGCGTGCTCGCATGAGTGAGGGAGGGGCAGAGAGAGAGAGACAGAGAGACAATCCCAAGCAGGCCCCGAGCTGTCAGCACCCACCCCAGTGTGAGGCTGGAACTCATGAACCATGAGACCATGACCTGAGTCAAAACCAAGAATCAGACCCTTAACTGACTGAGCCACTATTTATTTATTTTTTAAAAATGTTTATTTTGAGAGAGAGAACACAGGCAAGCAGGGGAGGAAGGAGGGGCAGAGAGAGGGAGACAGAGAATCCCAAGCAGGCCCTGCACTGTCAGCGCAGAGCCCCACATGGGGATTGAACACACAAACTGTGAGATCATGACCTGAGCTGAAATCAAGAGTCAGATGTTTAACCTACTGAG